ATGTCAGGGAATGCCGTCGTACGATCATCCATCCTGACCATATAGCAAGCCTAGCCCTTGTTTCCTACATGAATTTGTACCAGAAAAATGCTTAGTATTTGGAATTATTGAATGAATGAATGGATCGTCGTGAGATCACGAAAAGAGGAAATGAAATAGGTTGTGAAACGCATATGTGTATTATAAAAAGTTAAGAAGATGTAAGGAGGACATGTGCGGAAGCTAATTGTGAAACTGGCTGTCTGTGTTTGATCCCTAAGCTGCAAACACAGACAGTGTATGGTGTGGATTGGGGTGGGAATCGTCAGTGCAGCCCCCCAAATCACCATTTGGAAATTTAGATAACATGGATGCATGGTAAGAGAAGAGCAAAGGAAAGAAAAAAGATAGAGAAGAATAGATGGTGGAAGGATAAAGAAATGAGGGGAGAGGGATGTTTTAAGGAAATAAGGAATAGCTATATAACATAAGCATGCATAGAAAACTGACATGTGTTACGTAATTGACCACCTTTGTGCGTTTCGCAGGGGGCTCGGGTTGCGATAACATACTGAAATATTAAGTTAATGAAGCTCAAAAAAGAGAAGAATGAAGAAAATGCCTGCTGGAACAGTAACGTGAAAAAATGCGGCAGTGAAACAGATATTGATCAAAATACGCTTTAAAATTGGGATAAATATGCTGTTTTAGAACGAGGATTAATATAAATACTGTTCAGGGGATCAAGCTAACTTTAGCGTACCCTTTAAAATGGGAACAAATATGCTTTCTAGAACGGGGATACTACTCAAAGGATAGACAACAGTTAGTTGCGAAGCTGTAATATTAAAGATTGAAATTTACCTTGCTCTGTCTTGATAGTACTAGCAAAAATACGATTTATTCACGGCTCTGTTTGGATGACAAGTCTAAGACAAGGATGATAACTCTGCTGTATTCGCGGATTGCAGGAAATGGGGACATTGGGTGATGTAAGCATCAACATCAACTTCCATTTGCTCTTTCATTGATTTCTCTTTCTTTCACTTATCCGTCTTGCAAATTAGTTACATGACTGTTCAGAACATGGCGAGTAGGAGGCTCTACTGATGATTCCTGCTCCTACCTGCATGCATAGTTCGGTAGCTAAGGGATGAAACACAGACTTTTTCGTGAAATGTCTTCTTACACATGACACTTAAGTCCGGTCCCCCTATTCTACTATATCAAACAGTTGTTAATAAGTTTGTTGGAAGCTTTTCCTTTTGAGGATTGGTTAAGCAGGTTGTTAGCGAAGTATAAAGCATTTATTTCGTCAAGGTCTGCGCCTGATTTAATATCTCAGATGCATTTTTGCGTTTCAATTCGTCGCTGAAGCCACATTCATATTTTAACCTCTAAAACAGGCGGTGACAACTCATGAATAGGGATCCTCCAGAAAATGAAGTTTAACTCCTGGCCGTTAGCCAGTGCCATTTTACGATCGAGACGAATTAGCGGTTCTTTAGAAAGACTGAATGTTCCACTGACGGAGTTAAACTCTGGAGCATGAAGACAGCAGTGCTTTTCATGACTTCTTACCACTTTACTGACTGGTCTAAGCGTGCAGAGAAGATGCTACGCCTCGTTTTGTCCGACTAAGCTTGGATGGTACTAACCAATCGCGGCCTGATCAACGGTTGCGGGATGTAGTAGAACAGTTCAATCCTCTACACACACCAACTATTCAGTTATTTTGATATTCTTAGCATTGAAAAGTTTGTTTTTTTGTTCAAGGACGACCGGTATTTTCTTTCGGGATCACTGGATGGCAAACTTCGGCTGTGGCATATTCCGGACAAGAAGGTGGCACTGTGGAATGAGGTGGAACAGGTGAAATTCATCACAGCAATTGCATTTGCAAAGAATGGAAAATTTGCTGTTGTGGGCACCTATGATGGTCGTTGTTTCTTCTTCACAACCGATCAACTCAAATATCACACAGTCATTGATGTGCGATCAACTCGCGGCAAAAATGCCAGAGGGCACAAGGTTTTCGTTTTTCTCAACTGCACTTTTTATACACATTTTTGTTAAACTCAGTTTAATTTTGGATGAAAAGATGACATCCTTTAGAAAAAGCTTCTCTGGGCCTTGGAAATTTACCGCCTCTTATTCAGAATAGCTTTCTGTAGTTCGTTTTTAGCAGCAATTTTTGTACAAATTTTTGTTAAAATCA